ACACCCCCCTAATCCACCGAGAAGCTAGTGGACCCAGAAGTCAAAAAAACTATCAGAACCAGCTCCTTCAATGCCTACTGGACGGTACGGTGCCGTATATAAACCGCCACTGGGAAAAAATATCCAAAGCGCTACTCAAAGCAGGAGCGTCTGCTTGCGGTACAACTTCTCTGATAGGACCATATCTTTGCTGGAAACCAGGCGACAGATTCCACCTGGCCGCCACCACAACTCCAGCCGGCGCATCATCCGACGCCAGGTGAAACTGAGTGTCCGCGCAGACCGAGAAGCTTGGTGGACCAGAAAGGTCGAAGAAATGGGAGATGCAAAGAAGGCTGGAGATGTGCGCGAACTGTTCCACTCGATTCGTTCGACTGGTCCTCGGAAACCTCTTATCAGCGGAATAATCCGGTACCAAAATGGCTCCCTGATATGCAGCAAAGCAGAACGTTTGGACCGATGGGCAAAGTACTTCGAGCAGCAATTCAGTTGGCCATCTGCCACCTCCACTCCAGAGACCTGGCCTTCAACAGAAAGGTGGACCGTAAATATCGAGCCGCCTTCAGTCTCAGAAGTGTCCCAATGCATTTATCTACCCAAGCGTCATCGTGATTGAGTGGTCATCGTGGTCCTGACGACCTTCCAGCTGCTCTTTTCAAGGATGGCGGTGGATTCCTCAGCCAGTGTCTGTCTAGCCTATTTGGGTGTATCTGGGAGAAGTAGACCGTCCCGGACAACTGGGGTGAATCGATAGTAGTACCCATTTTCAAAAAGGGTACTCGCAGTGAATGTAGCAACCACTGAGGTGTTAGTTTGACGCCTGTTGTGACAAGGCTTCTGGCGTCATTGATTCTTTATTGTCTCATGGCGGCACGCGAAGTCTTGACTCGTGAGAATCAAGCAGGATTTCGACCGGGTAGAGGCTTCGTTGACCACATCTTCACACTCCGCCAGGTGTTAGAGCAACGCCACATGTACAGACGACCCACAATCCTGGTATTCCTTGACCTCAAGGGTGCGTTTGATTCTGTTGATCGATCAGTTCTGTTAGCTACACTTGATCAACAGGGTATGCCCTAGAAGTTTGTAAACATAATCCGATCCTTATATTCACATACTTCTGGGGGGAGGGTGTATGGTGGGCTCTCCAAAATCTTTACAAAAAGTGGTGTGACACAAGGATGTCCACTCTTCCAATTCTTGTTCTACTTCGTCATCGATGAAATAATGAGGCGAACATTGGACGGTTTCCACCCGGGTGTTCAAATTGTCCCTGGTGAGAGGACATTGTCCTCATCTTTGAAGACCATAGAGAAGCACAAACCCTGCTGAATAGACTGAGCACTGAACAACAAATGTCTTGGCCACCAGCTGGCACTGATCTGCAGCCCACAGGTGAAGTAGAACCCTGGACGGTGAACGTGGAACCACCTACGGCCTTGGAGGTTTACGGCTGTATATGTTCTCTCAAGCGCCACCGAGCTCCCGGTCCGAATGACCTTCCACCCGCACCGTTCAAAGACGGGGGTGAAGTTCTCAGTCAGCGCTTGTCCGATCTGTTTGCTTGCATTTGGGAAAAGGAGTCTGTCCCAGACAACCGGGGAAAATCTGTGATAGTGCCCGTTTTCAAAAAAGAGGCGCGTAGTGAGTGCGGTAACCACAGGGGGATCAGCTTGGCCCCGGTTGTAACGAGACTGTTGGCGTCAATTGTGCTTCGTCGCCTTACGGTGGCTCGTGAGATACTGACTCGAGAGCAGCAAGCGGGATTTCGGCCTGGTAGGGGTTGTGTTGACCAAATCTTCACACTGCGTCAGGTGCTAGCTTTTTCTCTGCGGTAGATTAATGCCAGTCAGGTAAAACGCACTGCAAAATGACAGTCCAATCCTACATCACGGTGCTCTGCGATCAACTCTCTAGGTCGATATGACGATGCATCGATCCACAATACCCGACGACGAGAACGCTTTATAAGTAGTTGGTAGTCAAACGTTCCTGAATGCAGGTATAGACATGGGTTTCTTCGTTCCTCCTTCAAAATGGCGGAAACCGCGAAGCGAAAATGACACCGCAAAAGAGTATGAAGGAGTTTACGGTGAGTTTGGGTGTTATTGTTGCCGTACTCCTTCCAGGATGGGGTCCCGGGGACTCCTTCTACTCTTGGCTGCAGACATTGCAATAACTGGCGCCTGATGGATACCAGTAGCGTTTGTGCTGTCAATTTCCCTGCCGACTATCTGACTAAGCGCAATTGTAGCCAATTCGGGATACATGCGATAGGCCTGCATCATGTTTCTTCTCTCATCCACTTTTTATACTAAGACTTCAAATATAATTGGCGAAAAATTTTGTGGTTTTATGGTGGTGAAGCATTATTGCCAAAAATGATATTGTTCCCTATTATTATTATGATGATGATGATGATATGGACAGGTGACACATAATGGAATGGTTTGTACATAGCGCACACGTGTCCCTCGGTGCCGTGGACAGACTGGAGGTGAGCAGTGTGTGGATGGTGGCCTTGACGACAAAAATCTCTGTTTAACAGAAAGCATGCATATGAGTCATGATTTAAAGTGAATAACCAAGGACGTCAAACTCTGAAATGGTCAGGTTGGGTTTATTTGAACCAGCCTTATCGGCGTTTCCTCTAGCATGTAACACAAATTTTTGAGATTGCCAGATGAAAAGTGGAAAAATCGAGCGTGTTAGTTTGAAAAAGTTGAACAAAATCATTAAAAATCCAAGGACACAGTACTATTGACGAACATTTACAAAAAGATATCGACCTCTAAGATGGGGTATTCTCTGAAAGCCACTAAAGACACACCTAATTTCTGTAGTTTCACGTTTATACTCATCCAAGATCTTTGAAAATAGACTCTAACATACCCTCATTTCTGACGCGGTGGAACCGATCAACATGTGGGACTTGGCATTCCATACATCCACCTGAAGCGTCTTATGGAGAAGGTACTCGAAAACCTCCTCATACTCCCCCGAATTCATCCAGTTGGGATTCATGGTGAAAGTGACCTTTGTAAAGATGGGGTGTGATAAGAGGACAGTGTTGAAAAGATGCTCCAAAGGGTGTTGGGATATCTTAAACAACTGAAACAGTTCAAAATACACCGGTTCTCCCGC